TTATAAGTTGACACTCTAATACATAATGTTCTAAGGTGTGGGCGTGCGGCATACTACATAATTTACACTCCTTATTCAAGTTCAAGTTCAAGTATGTTTGTATGTTGTATGACAAGAAAAAAGATACATCTCAAAGGGGTAGAGTAGCTTAGGCTATTTCTAACCCCCCTCTATTTCATGTCCCTCAAGGGGCGCACAATTCAGTGAGTACAGATATCATATCTATTTTCTTTTTTATCTCTCTATATCGTTTTACTTTAATCTTTGTTTCAACATTTGTCACTACAGAAAGTTGAACGCTAACACTACTAGAAAGTTCATTTTCCTGACTATCCTCTATCATCAATACGTCATGTTCTTCCTTACTTTCTTCAACGCACGTTTCACTTTCCATTTCACGTCCTGTTTCACTTTCCATTTCACGTCCTGTTTCACTTTCCATTTCACGTCCTGTTTCATTTTCCATTTCACGTCCTGTTTCACTTTCCATTTCACGTCCTGTTTCACCACCATCTTCACCCCGTCTACCCTCCATAACTAATTTTTCTAATGCCTCAATCCTCTTGTCTAGTTTTTTTTTTTTTTTTTTTAGATATTCCAATATTTGAGAACCAACCTCAGAGTTCACTATATTTTCCTGAACCTTGTTTCCACAAGGTTTAATTTTTTCAGCTGCATTTCCTACTTTCCCTAGGCTCGCCTTAAGTGTCTCCGTTCCTTTCTCCCACACATTGTTCATAGGCGCTGCCATTGGCTTCCAGCTGTTTCCTCTATGATCCTGCTGCACAATCTTTCCTTCCTTCGAGGATACATCTATCCTGCTTGTAGCACCCGTCCTAGAGTCTCTCAGATGAGGCTTCATGCGGCATAGATAGGAACCAGCATTGTGGCTGCCTCGACAATTGCAACAAGATGGGACGATTTTTTCACCGTTTTTAATCTTGACTCCACACTCTCGAGAGTCGTGTTTCTTACCACAGTACCGACACCTGGGGTCAAACTAGCATTTCCAAGCCATATGTCCCCAACGAGAACACTTCATGCATAATATGGGTTCCTCAATGTATTTTGCAACTTTCCTGTAGCCTAGTCCTTGCACAAATTTTTTTTCTGGAGCCTCACCCTTTACCAAGGCAACAACCTGGCTTTGTTTTTCACCACGAACACTGTTCCTCTTTGCCCAAACAACACTATCATTGTTGAGCAATAGATAATCAGGATCCAAATAAGTTGGATACTTAAACACTATGACCTTGGTGTGTATCATACCTTCTTCCGGAATAACCATCACAATATTCTCAAACCCATCCTTCGTTAGGTGTTCCACAGCTTTTTCTGTCCCAACTGTTATGTAGGGCCGGTGAGCACCTTGAATAGTGGTTCATATTCAAAAAACTCCTTAGCCAAACGAACCGTTCACTCCAGCTTTTGATGAAAATTCAGTTGACACGCTATAGGGAACAACAGCCTCTTCCTTCCATTAGTCTGCATCTCCCGCGTCCTGCTGAGCATGGCTTCATTTTTTGGTCTCTTTGTTATTTCCTCCTCGCTGTCTTTGAATATTTCTCCGTTTATATCTGTTCAATACTGCTTGATACGGCCTAGTATCATCCTGTCTGCCATCCCCACTGTCACACTCTCCAGGCCCAGTGCAGGATCGTCCATCACCTAGGCAGACCGCCTCAGCCATTTCCTCGATACACAAAGGCACTGTATCACTGCAACAGTCGAGAACAAATTCACAACATCTAGCTGCAGCAGCCACGTGCAAACACGAAGATGCGGAGCAACACGTCCTCCTCGCATCATGCAGCAGACCGCACTGGGTTCCTCCTAGTTTTCTACCTGCCACCACTTCTAGTTAAGGGGTGAGAAACCAGGCTTAATAGCAATGAAGGTTACTCAGGGAGGAAACGGATTCGAGAGCGTTCATTTAATGTAAATAGAGTAAATGAGGAGAGTAGGAGTGAAGAGTATCACTCAAAGGTTTGGCAAGAGTACGGCCAATGTATTTGATCAGATGTCGTGTCTTAACATGACTGGTTTAATATTTATACAGGTGTATGTTAGGGTTGTATGATGTCACCCTTGTTACTCTGTAAGTACATGTATATGGATGGGGTCATGAGAGAAGTCAAGGGAAGACTGTCATAATCACAATTTTATTTGTATTAGAAACAGTATAAGTATGATATAGTACTTATATTTAAATGTTTAAATGTATGGCTCCTAATTATACCTGGCCAAATACATTTATGTATATGTCTACTTTGGCTTAAATAATCCACCAATCACATCTATTATATCACCCAGTAGAGTAATTTGTTCCATAAATCAACAACACTTTCCAAACCTGTATTTACTTAAGTCTTTTCTGAATCTATACCTATTCAATCCATTATCCAATCTCATTATATCCATTGTTAATTGTTCAATTTCATGTTGATACATTTAACATCTCACTAACACTCACATTCCAATCAATGACATAGATGAGGATATTACAAGCCACATCATCGAATTTGCAGATAACACAAAGATTTATGGCAAAGAGGGAAGCGAAAATGATATTGAGACCTTACAAAGAGACCTTGGCAAATGCTTTTTAATGTCGATAAATGCAAGACCTTGCATGTGGAGCATAACAATTCACGTCACAACTACCACATTAACAACATTGTAACAGATATTATATTATATTATATTATATTATATTATATTATAATATATTTATATATATATTATTTATTATATTATATTATATTATATTATATTATATTATATTATATTATATTATATTATATTACATTATATTATATTATATTATATTATATTATATTATATTATATTATATTATATTATATATCTATTTATATACAAGAAGGTACAGTGGGTTTATTAGAGTACAGAGACTTGAAGTTTTACATTCTTGTGAAGCCAGTAGCATGCATAGCGTTTCGGGCAGGTCCTTAATCTAAAACATAATTTTAAGAAGGTAATTTCAAGCAAAATTAAAAAAAAATGTTTAGAGGTGCATTGTAAGAAAGTATAAAAATACATTGCAAGAATGTATAAAATGCATTGTAAAAAAGTATAAAAAAATACATTGTATAAGAAATTTGACAGAGAGAAAAAAAAGTAAGTTCATTAAAGTAAATTTAAGGGTTATCCACATGTACATTTTAGCATAATTTGAGGATTACTACAAGATATAATGTCGCAAACTTTGATGAAGAGAAGGACCTTGGAGTCAGAATCCATCTTCACTGAAAGTTGCACAAGTGGGAGCGGCAGTAAAAAAAAAAAACTAACCAAACCCTAGGAATAATCAAGTGTACCTTTACCTTTAAGGAAAGCTCATCTTCTTCTAGAAAGACATAGCTGCTCCGGAGAAAATGTAACACCGGTCAACAAAAATCGTTCCAGAGCTAACTAAGTCATCTAATAATAATAATAATATAATAATAATAATAATCTTTATTTAGGTAAGGTACATACATAAAGAGATTTACAAAGTTTGTTGGCTTTATAGATAGAGCTAGTACATACAATGCCTAAAGCCAATATTACGCAAAGCGTTTCGGGCAGGAAAAACATTAATGACTACAGCTTAAAACTAATGGGTAAAAAGAAAAGATGTGATGAGTACATATAAAAAATAGAGGTCTCTCATATCAGGAACGGTTGAGGGCCAACGGGCTAACAACACTGCAAATCAGGCATGACAGGCAGATCTCATTGAAACTTTTAAAATACTGAACAATTCCTGATTTTGAATCAGAATCAATTCAACAATTTTGATTTTGAATTTTGAATTCCGGACAATTTCTTCAAAAGGTCAGATATAACACGAATGAGGAGCAACAGTTTCAAGCTCAACAAGCAACAATGTAGGACTGAGAACAGAAGATACTTGGAGAACAGGAGAACTTGGAGAACAGGAGAACTTGGAGAACAGGAGATACAGAACAGAACAGAAGAGACCCCCCACAGGGTTATAAACCCACGAAACCGCCAACCCACCGAAGTTGTAACTGCCAAGACTCCTTTGTGTTTTAAATTTAAAGTACAACTATTAAAGATCATCAGAGCAAATGGGGGGGACCCTTGACATGCCGCCGGCTTGCTGTCCTCGTCGAGGCCAGTAGTAGTAGTGGCCCTCAGATAAATTCAGGAAAATACTCCCCTCCCCCCATATAATGTTTCTGGCCGAAACGTTATGCATGTTAGAGGCTTTGCAAGAATGTAAGAACAGCAATGTTATTTTTTGTTTTTTATATATACAAGAGTTGTTACATTCTTGTACAGCCACTAGTACGCGTAGCGTTTCCCCTGGAATACGATCCCCTGCCGCGAAGAATCGTTTTTTCATCCAAGTACACATTTTACTGTTGCGTTAAACAGAGGCTACAGTTAAGGAATTGCGCCCAGTAAATCCTCCCCGGCCAGGATACGAACCCATGACATAGCGCTCGCGGAACGCCAGGCGAGTGTCTTACCACTACACCTCGGAGACTGCTAATGTACTCTCACAAACCCAATATATTTCTTATAAATAAATCAATACAGAAAGGCACTCAAAAACTGAAAATCACATTAAAAATACTAACTTGAAATTGAAATTGAAATTGAAATAAGTTTATTGAGGCAAAATATACACAAAGGGAGGAGGTAGCTCAAGCTATTCTCACCCCGTTCAGTACATCGTGTTAATACATAGATATAAACACATCACAAACAATAAACATATTACCAAACATTCTGAGAGATAAACATCTACATTTCCTCAAAATACGAACTTAGTACATCAAAAACTCCTAAACTGAACTATCCAAAACTGTCTATAAATATAATTCTTGTTTATATGTTAAATTGTAAATTTGGTACTTTTCAGTCAAATTTGGCACTTTATTATTTTAGGTAATAATTTAGGTACATTCCCGAAAATAATTTTGGGCAAGTTTTGGGCAAGTGTGGATGGGCTTTGAGCCGTGAGGGGAGGTCAGCCAGGAGACACGCGCGTGGGCAGGTCACAACACTTCCCTCCCTGTAAGGTAAACCTTTCCTCTCTGCCTCAACAGGTTCACAGTGAAGGGCCACTACAGCTGGTTTAGTGGTAAACTTTTAGTTTAGTAGGAAATATATGTATATTTTGTAATTATTATTCACCCCATCCCCGGCGCGGTGGTGGAACCCCCATGCTCATCCTGGTGGAGGCGGTGGACCCCCATGCCCATGCCGGTGAAGGCGGTGGACCCCCATGCCCATGCCGGTGGAGGCGGTGGACCCCCCATGCCCATGCCGGTGGAGGCGGTAGAGCCCCATGCCCATGCTGATAGAGGCGGTGGACCCCCATGCCCATGCCGGTGGAGGGGGTGGACCCCCATGCCCATGCCGGTGGAGGCGGTGGACCCCCATGCCCATGCCGGTGAAGGCGGTGGACCCCCCATGCCCATGCCGGTGGAGGCGGTAGAGCCCCATGCCTATGCTGATAGAGGCGGTGGACCCCCATGCCCATGCCGGTGGAGGGGGTGGACCCCCATGCCCATGCCGGTGGAGGCGGTAGAGCCCCATGCCCATGCCGATAGAGGCGGTGGACCCCCATGCCCATGCCGGTGGAGGGGGTGGACCCCCATGCCCATCCCGGTGGAGGCGGTAGAGCCCCATGCCCATGCCGATAGAGGCGGTGGACCCCCATGCCCATCCCGGTGGAGGGGGTGGACCCCCATGCCCATGCTGGTGGAGGCGGTGGACCCCCATACCCATGCCGGTGGAGGCGGTGGACCCCCATGCCCATGCCGGTGGAGGCGGTGGACCCCTATGCCCATGCCGGTGGAGGCGGTGGAGTCCCATGCCCATGCCGGTGGAGGCGGTAGAGCCCCATGCCCATGCCAGTGGAGGCAGTGGACCCCCATGCCCATGCCGGTGGAGGCGGTGGACCCCAATGCCCATGCCGGTGGAGGCGGTGGACCCCCATGCCCATGCTGGTGGAGGCGGTGGACCCCCATGCCCATGCTGGTGGAGGCGGTGGACCCCCATGCCCATGCTGGTGGAGGCGGTGGACCCCCATGCCCATCCTGGTGGAGGCGGTGGACCCCCATGCCCATCTCGGTGGCGGCGGTGGACCCCCATGCCCATCCCGGTGGAGGCGGTGGACCCCCATGCCCATCCCGGTGGAGGCGGTGGACCCCCATGCCCATCCCGGTGGCGGCGGTGGACCCCCATGCCCATCCCGGTGGAGGCGGTGGACCCCCATGCCCATCCCGGTGGAGGCGGTGGACCCCCATGCCCATCCCGGTGGAGGCGGTGGACCCCCATGCCCATCCCGGTGGAGGCGGTGGACCCCCATGCCCATCCTGGTGGAGGCGGTGGACCCCCATGCCCATCTCGGTGGCGGCGGAGGACCCCCATGCCCATCTCGGTGGCGGCGGAGGATGCCCATCCCGGTGGCGGCGGAGGATGCCCATCCCGGTGGCGGCGGTGGACCCCCATGCCCATCCCGGTGGAGGTGGTGGACCCTCATGCCCATCCCGGTGGACCCCCATGCACCATCCTGGGGGCATGGGGTTCTCATAGTCCCCATCAAATTGTAATCATCAATGTTGATGAACTAATCAGTTGACTCATCAGTGAGTTTGGGTGGATATAAACAGGTGCGATGTGTGGGCCAATAGGATGTCTGCAGTTTCCTTAATGCTTATGTTCTTGTATCCGAATTCCTAGGGAAGATCTTTCTCTTAAGTTTAGTACTTTACTTACAGGAAACTTGCAGAAAACCTGCTAATGATGTCATCTGTTCATTATTTCTCTGGGCATAGATATACTGTAATGTTAATCTATCTTTTTTTCCTTTTTTTTCATCAGGACTAAGCTATTTTAATTCTTAGTCCTGAGTTAATTGTCATTAATAAATTGCGATTCAGTTTTCTTATAATAATAGTAATAATAATAATACAGGTAATTATTCTAATAAGGAGAATGTGGTTTGGTCATCTGATGTCTCTAGTGTCATACCTTCCCTGACATCCTTAAAAAAAAAAGCACGAGTAACGCCAGTTCATAAAGGAGGCAATCCAGCAGACAAACAATTAGACCAATATGAAACCTACCTATATCAAAAATATTTGAAAAAATTTACAAACGGCTCTACTCCTACCTCGTAAAATTCAACATACTAAGTCTGTCAGTTTGGCTTCCGCTGCCAAGAGTACCAACGATGCAATTATTAGTCTGCTTGATATAATTTACTCGGCCCTTGACAAAAATGAGTTTCCTATTGGACTCTTCATTGACCTGAGAAAGGCCTTTGATACTGGTAACCATAACGACCTCTTGCTTAAACTCCACCATTATGGAATCTAAGGCCAGTGCCTGAACAATATCCGATCCTATCTTAGTGACAGACACAAATATGTAGCCATCAGTGATATAACCTCTCCCACTCTACCATTAACTGTAGGAGTGCCACAGGGCAGCATTCTAGGACCTCCTATTTCTTATGTACATCATTGATTTACTTAATGTCTCTAACATTCTTAAACCTACATTATTTGCTGACAATACTTCCCACATCTACTCAGGCCCCAACCCACACATTAAATAATGTTGTTAAATAATAAATTAAATAAAAGTCCTCTTATGGATATCGACTAACACTTAAAATAAATATAGATAAGACCTACTACATCTTATGTGAAAGCAAATCAACAAGTGAAATTCAGCTTCAGATAGAAAATGTTGACATCAGCAATAAAAATTATGGAAATTTCCTTGGCCTATACTTAGACAAAATACTTTGACCAGTCCCCGTGGTGTAGTGGTAAGACACTCGCCTGGCGTTCCGCGAGCGCTTTGTCATGGGTTCGCATCCTGGCCGGGGAGGATTTACTGGGCGCAAATCCCTAACAGTAGCCTCTGTTTAACGCAACAGTAAAATGTGTACTTGGTTGTAACAACGATTTTTCCCGGCGGGGATCGTATTCCAGGGACCTGCCCGAATTGCTACGCGTACTAGTGGCTGTACAAGAATGTAACAACTCTTGTATATATCTCAAAAAAAAAAAAAAAAAAAAAAAAAAAAAAAAAAAGACAACTTCAGCACCCACATGCAACACATAACTAAGAAAGTCTAAAAAAACAGTTGGTATACTCTAAAATCAGATATTGTTCCAAACTCTGCTCTCCTCACTATACTATGTGCTAATCTATCCTTATCTTACATATGGTATCTGTGCATGGGGTTCAACCAATGCAAACTACCTGAAGTCCATCATCATCCAACAACAATCTGCTATCAGAACAATAACAAGCTCTGCTTTCAGACAAAACATAGCCCCCCTGTTTAAATCCCTAAACATGCTAAACATAAACTCACTCTACACATTCTCTTGTACTATTTACATTTATAAAACCCTGCTTTTAAATGCAAACCTTGTTCTGAAATTCTTCCTGGACAGATGTAATAAAACCCATAATCATCACACCAGAAATATATATCTCTTTGATATCTCCCAGAGTCAAACTTAATCTGTGTAAACACACTATGCAAATAAAGGGATCTAGTCTATGGAACTCACTCCCTAATGAATTGAAAAGCTATCCAACTGTTGTCTTATTCAAAAATAAAACCAAAATGTCCCTAAATTTCATCTTCATACTTTCCTACCTAGTGTTTTAAACTCTGTGCTACCCAATCCCCCACTATATGTACCTAAGCCATACAACTTTACCATTGCAATCATTGCTATCACCTTATATCATGGTTGTTATATTGAATGCATTTTTTACTGCATTATATCTTTAAATAATCCTCATTATGCTAAAATGCACCTGTTGATAACCCTAAAATTTGACTTTATTGTACCTACTAATCTTTGTCAAATTTTCTTACATTGTACCTGTAAACATTTTTTCAATATTGCTAGAAATTACCTACTTAAACTTAGCTGTTACATTAAGGACCTGTGCAAAATGCTATGCGTGTTAGTGACTTTACAAGAATGTAAAAGCATCAGTGCTATGTATTCTCATCAACCCAATGTACCTTCTTGTATAGAGTATATATAAATAAATAAATGTGTGCTTATTTTGATGTACTGTAATCTTGATTCTTTGGTCATTTTGATGTGTGGTTTGGTCATTTTGGATAAGGAGTTTGAAAGTCATTCTTTCATTCTGTTGGTTTCAAGATTCAAGGTTTTTCTGAAAGAAATTCTGTTGGTTTCAAGCTTTGCTATCCAGGGAGTTTCTTGGAAGCTTATCATAGCAAAGCTCAATTACATATAACAAAATCGAGAAAATTTGGCCAAAAACTGTTATGCTTAACATTTTATGTTTGAAAATATTGTGAAGACCTCGAAACCATTTTGATGTACACGTGTTTAACCCATGTACTGCACGTTTCTATAATATGACATCCCCATGGTGCACGTAAAAAAATTAATCCCCACAATTTTTTCTTTGGTATTTATAAAATGCATGGGGCATGGGACACAAATTATTTGTAACTAGGCTTTGATGGAGTGATGAAGTTTGACAATTCACAGACACTGAGTGATGTTGCTCTGTGGAGTGGGAGTTGCTTCAAAGATATTTTTACATGATTATTTAAATGTCAATGTTTTTCTGGAGGAAACCCCTTGTGGCTCCCTGAATCTATTTAGAGTACACAGTTTCAGTGCCATACTATTTGGTGCCATCAGTCATAGTTCTTATTGACCAACCGTGGACCCCCGAGCCAGAACCTGGTCCCCCTCCCCCTCGGAGGCACAGGGAGCAGTGGGACTATGAAAACCTTACATTTAAAGTTATTCATGTCTGTTGCCACTAGGGAGAGCACCCAGAAAGTCAGTGAAACAAAACAGACTACTGCATGATGAGAATAGACTGCAGTGTCAAAACCATAAAAAAACTCTCCTAATAAAGTAAGCAAATGACCAAAATGTTGTGAAACTAACATGAGCTAGTTTGCCCCACCTCCCGTTCCTTCCCTCCACATTTGGGGGGGGATGAGAGAGGCAGGCTCTCCACCACTAGTTATTATTCTGATGTGTCG